GTTCAGAATGGTTTGATCCCTATCCAGCTGAATTCCTGAGAGGAGACGAAATCCAGGTCTCCTACTCCTCCGCCATCTTGCTCTGCCCCCTCAGTGACCCTTATTATTTTATCAATCAAATATTTTCCCTTGCAATTTAATCTTAATTTTTGAGGTGATTTTCAATTTCTTTCCTGAGTTTGGTCAACTCTTATTTCTTCCTATTTTGAATGGGAAAGTTTTTTGGTTTTCCAAGTTTGTTGGAACATATTAAGATTTTTTTCATATCTTCAAAAAAATTTTCAAAGATATCTATATATTTGATATTGGTTGAGAGGTGAGTGTTCCCCTGCTATCTGGGGGATGAGGAAAGGACTGGACAATTTTTATCAGATTCTCATGTTTTGTTTTCTTCTTGTATGCATGTATAAAAACTGCCATTTTCTGTTATTTGAAATGTATTATTTTTTTTTTCTGGACCAGCAATAAAAGATTTTTTTTTTAAGCCAAGAATAAGGAGTTTGTATTACTTATTAGTTTTCTTAACTCAAGTTTACCTTCTTTTCTTGGAGTAGAGAGGTTCGATTTCTTTAATAAATCATGCCTTCTGGAGGAGAAAGTCTTAACTTATTTGTGATTTCCTTTTGTTTCTACACAATCCTTAATTTCTACCACTTCCTTCTTCCTTTCCCTTCACACAAAGCCTTCTCTTCTAACTTGTATCCTCTTCTCTCAGAAGTGGTACTTTCCCCAAATTGCCATCTCAAATTCTGAACAATTTCAGGTCCTTTCTTTCCAAGTCTCTTTTAGTGCTTTGGTCTACCAGAACTTTTCTCAGAATTTCTTCAATTAGGGTGGGATTCCATCTCTCTAGGGGTGATTTTTATCTATACTTGTCAGTCTCCCACTATTCTCTTTTCTTTTCTGTGTAGTTTCTCTCTGACTTTCTACTTCTGTATGAACTCTAGAGCTGTCTCAATTTGTTTCAGATATTTCTTTTCCTATTTACATGCAAATTAAAATTATAGTATTTTTATCCCAAAGAGGAAAACATACTGTAGGCATGTTTTAAAGGGTAGTTTTACTTGAACTCCCTTGTGATTTGTATGGTTTTTGTAGGATGTGTGTTATATTCTAATTCAGATTGCTGTCATTATGCCATGAGAACCAGGTACCTCAGATCCTTTATCTTTTTTTTTTTTCAGATCCTTTATATTAAAACAAGATGTCTGAAATGTACCTTTCCATTTTATTTTCCAAATTAAATGAGGTAACACATACAGAATTCCTAGCCTAGCATATGGCACATATTAAGTGTTCAACAAATTTTAGTTGTTATGTTGTTATTCTGATGCACATTGTGAGTCTTCCCCACGTTGGATGCTTTCACTGGATCCTCATGCATCAAGAATCCCCAGGGAGGGAGAATCTGGTGTTTAGTTCTAGATCCTCCCTTAGTAGCATGTGCTAGCCCTGTTTTCCTTCCCAAATTCAACTTGAGTTTGACAGGTAGTCATTTTTACCATTTCTAGAATTCTAAAAAAATATTCTGATATTTTTCCATTGAGGATAAAAGCTTCTTCAAAAACAATTAATCATACAAACTGATGGAGTGGTAATGAATACAATGCCTTGTTGGTCCCAGCAGGAAGGCTAGAATGGTGGCTCTGCCTCTCACTCTGCCTGAACTTCCTGCATTTGGTTCCTGTGCCATTTGGTATTATAAGATTTACTTTTCCAAACTGAGCTGTTTCATCTTTCTTTCACTTTACATTTTTCCTCTCCCTTTTCCTGATGCCTTATCCTTATTCCTCTTTTTCCCCATCATACCCTCTACCCTCTCTTGCATCTTTAATCACAAATAGGTGATTGCTCTGCAGTGTGCCGCTTGAACAAATAGTTTATATTTAGAATATCCCTTTGCCGAAAATGGAATTAACATATACCTTCTCATTCAGTTTCCATTTCTTTTTCCAGCTGCCTTTACTAAACGATCACTGCCTTAAGTATAGACTATATAACATGTAATGCATTCTGGGTAAATGACTTACTTAGGATGGGGCACTGAGAAACAGTTGCCCTTGAACCTCAAGCCTTTAGTGAACAAGCTGGTTCTTATATCACCCCATAAGCAATGGCATATCTTATGGGGCACTGAACAAAAATAAGAATACTCAATTATTATTGATTAGGAATCCTTGTAAACCATTCCAATCTAACTTCCTGACGTTAGAATAAGAACTGTTCTTTGCATCTCTACTTCCCCACTACTCAAGAGAGAACCTAACATGCATAAAGTTCTTAGGCAATGTAGTATGCTGAATAATGGCTCCCCAAAGATATCCAAGTCCTGATCCCTGGAACCTATGAATGTTTCTTTATATGTCAAAAGGGAGTTTCAGATGTGATCAAGTTTAAGGATCTGGAGATGGGAGATTATAAATGGAATATCTGGATGGATCTAATGTAGTCACTGGGATCTGTATAAGAGGAAGACAGGAGATCAGGGAGAAAGTGCATGTGTCAACAACAGAAGCTAAAGGGTTGAAGCAGATGTGAAGAAAGGGTCACAAGCCAGGGAATGCAAGTAGCCTCCAGAAGCTCAAAAAAACAAGAAGATGGATTCCCCCCAACAGCCTCCAGAAGGAATGAGCCCTGCCAATACCTTCACTCAAACCCATTGAAACTGATTTGGGTCTTCTAGCTCCCCAAACTGTAAGAGAATAAATTTTTGTGGTTTTAAACTACTAAATTTTTGGTAATTTCTCACAGCTCCACTAAGAAACTAATACAGGCAATGTTAGTTACCTTTTTACAAAATACATTTTACAAAATGTACTTATTCTTTATTTAACATTTAAATTCAGTAGAGTTAAGGGACTTGTCCAAGTTCACAAGGATGGTTAAGACAAAGTTTTGATTAGAGCTAGGATGACTCTGTGTATCAGTTAGCTTGATGCATAACAAATAGCCCAGAACTCAGTGATCTAAAACCATGAACATTTATTTAGCTAACAATTTTACAGATCATAAATTTAAGCTATAGGCTCGCCTGTAGTTTTTCTGATGTTCACTGAGCACATCCATGCATCTGCATTCAGTTGCCAGGTCATCTGGGGATTGGCTGATCTATGATGACCTCATCTGGTAGGGTTTTGTCTCTGTTCCACATGATCTTTCAGCCTCTAGCAGGCTCACTCAGGCATGTTCTCATGGCAGCTGGACAGAGCTCTAAAAGAAACAATGAAAATATGCAAGATAAGCTGAGACCTGGGCTTGGAACTGGCATATCACTTCCATTGTGTTTTATTGGCCAAAGCCAAGTCATAAGTAAGTTCAGATTCAAGAAGGGGAAATAGATTCCTCTTTTGATGGAGAAGATGAAATTCATATTGGAAAGTATGTTGATGAAGGAAGGAGTGATTGATTTTGCAATGTACCCCATCATATAATTTACATCCTAAATTGTGTCACTTCTGAGAATGAAAGGGGATGTTTTTAAGAATTACATCAAGAAAATAGATATAAACCAGGACTGTGTTAGGGTATTAAGGCCCTTATCTCCTGACCTCCAACCCAAGGTTCTTGTTATGTCTCCAGACTGTTATCATACTGCTTTAATGATGTTGGGAGGAAGACACAGAACTTGCAGAGGATAGACCTCAAATTTGAGTCCAAGCCAAAGATTAACATGAATGCTATTCCTGGTGTCCAGGTAAATACCTATAAGGAATTTATTTTCCCACTTCTCTCTATAACCCAAATGTCTTCTCCTTTAAAACTCTTCCCTGGGGCCTCTAGCACATCTCAGTGGTCATCAAAGTGTCATTGTCAATAAAAATAGCTGCTGCTCTCAATTTGGCTCTTGGTGCTCACTGTTCAGTGTGTATGTGTGTTTAATGTGAATGTACATTTTATAAATATAAAGATGCAAAGAAAATAATTTCTAGAGTTCCCAACTGAAGCTTTTCATGTAAGCATGGGTGTATAAAGCTCACCTCTGTGAATTCAAACCTTGTCATATATTCCTATTGACCTGAACCATAGGGAATCTGGCCTCGTTTTCTAGTCCTGTCAAGGCTTTCAAAGATTTTTTTTTCTTTTTTTTTTTTTAAGGCTTTCAAAGATTTATTTCAAAAGCTTATTTTATAGCTTGGTTTATAAAAAGGTCTATTTTTCGTTCAAATAATATAGTATTTTTGAAACAGAATTTATCCATCAACTTTGGAAATATTTGTACTATGGTTTGAAGTCATGAGCTGGGACATTTTGGAACTTATTTTAAAACCTAGAAATCCTAAGCAGGGGAAATCGGAGGGGTGGACGAACCATGAGAGACGATGGACTCTGAAAAACAGGCTGGGGGTTCTAGAGGGGAGG